ACTGGTTGCCTTTTCCCCATAAACAAGAATGTCTCCTGTCTGGCTGAAGCCACAGCCCCGGGCTGGGCAGAGCTGCTGCCCTGATGTTTTCTCAGGATTCTCAGCACACACTGTAAACACAGTCGGCCTTCCCGGCACCGAGGGCTCCGGCAGCCCCAGAAGTCGGAGCCACCCCAGGGCTGCTGGCCTCCGCCAACGGGGAGACGCAGGAGCGCTGAGTCTTCCGGCCTGTGCCCCCCGCTCCCCCACGCCTGGTCCCGGGCATGACAGCGGGGAAGTGACAAGACCTGCAGATCACTGTGTCAGGGCACAGAGGGCCGGGGGCTCACGAGGGTCCCAAGGACATGGTCTGCATGTGAGGGAAATGGGAGCTTCAGGGGGAACTCGGACGAAGCCGGTGCTTCTCACGCATTGGGCTCCCCTCCCCGGCAGCTGCCAAATGACTTTCATTCAAGAAAGTGCCCGATGAGAGGCAGAGTGGGGCAGATCTGGGGGTCAGCGCCAGCGGAGGCTGCCTGGCTTCTTGGCTGCTTCACGCCGGCTAACTGCTAAGGTGAGCCCCCCGCAGCGCCTTCAGCAAATGAGACCGATGTCGCCCATGCCAGCTCTCAGCTCAGCACCTGGGCCCTGTCATCCGAGCAGCTCATCAGCTGGACGGGCCGGAGACGTGACCTGCGATTTGTGGGGCTCCAGATGGCTGTGCAGGCCCCAGACATTCAATCTTCCCCCGCAGGTGGATTCGGCGGCGGTTACGCAATGTTGTGAAGGAATAACCCGCGTGGACCTGAAGAGCTGTGTGTGCTGGCTTCCTGGCAAGAGCGTCACCAAGAAGGTTCTGAGAAGCCACTCTGGCTCGAAGCTCCGACACAGCCCACTTCGCGGGCTTCAGGTCATGAAGCCGACGACAGGCGGGTCACTCGGAGAGGTCCTCGAGGGAGGTCTCCAGGCACAGGGGAGAGAGGCCACGTCTCAGAACTCTGGTGGGGTTTCAGGAGTCCTCCTGGACATTTGAGAAAACCTGAGCCTGCGTGAGAGTTCATATGACGGCACTCCAACGACAGAGCCAGGCGGACCAGTTCGTGCAGAAAGCCACGACGAACTCTGGCCTGAGTGAGAGTCACTCCTCACCTGTCTGCTCGATGGACGTGAGGGGCGAGCCCCGGATGCTGAGTCCTGGCAAGGAGGGGAGTGCAGGTGAGCTCCCGCGGCTGGAGGCCGCAGGTCTGTAGAAGACCCAGCTGGGACTCAAGATGCCCCCTGGAGGGCACCACCCAGCAGTGGGACGGTCGGCTCTCCTTCCCGATCTTCAGTGTTTTCATTTCTTAAACAGGGTTCTGGCCCCATACGTATATGATCCCCGAGGCTATCGAATAACCTAAACTTTGTGAAGATGGACTTGACACACAGCCTCCAAATGTTTCTGCCTCCTACCCCCTCCGCCTTCACAAAGAGCAAGCAGGCACCCCATGGAGGAGAGAGTTGGGGGAACCCCGCTAAGCCCCAGAAAGGGAGGTAAGACCTGCACCCACAAAACAAGAACAGAACACTAGAAAACAGAAACAAGAGACAAAACAAAATGATCTGAAAGTTAAAAATTAAATAAAATATTCATCAGATGTATTGAGAAGATAAAACTGAAGAACTCTCCCTGAAAGCAGATTTAAAAAATAGAGAGATGAGAAATGGAAAAGGTAAAAACTATTAAAGGGTTAACCTGAGAGGCCCAACATTGGAACAATAGGTGGTCCAGAAAGAAAGGTGAACGACTATAAGAAAAATTGAGACACTTCCCAGGAGAGCCAGCACAAGGTCCAGCACCAAGGGTACCACACCACGGGACAGCTCAGGACACTAACAATGAAGGGATCTTGAATGTTTCCTGGGAGGGATGCCCAAGCCACACCTAAAGGCTCGGGGATCAGAATGGCATCGGAAATCTCAGCAACCACGCTGGTGGGTAAAGAGGGGGCATTAGTTTCTACCTGCAGTTCTATACCCAGCCACACTTGGGTAAGGGCAGAATGAAAACATTTTAAGTTATGCAAAAATCTCAAAATATTTACGATAGTTACTTCCCACGTTCCTTTTCTTGAGAAGTTACTAAAGAATGTGCCACACCAAAAAAAAAAAAAAAAAAAAAAAAAAANAAATATTCATCAGATGTATTGAGAAGATAAAACTGAAGAACTCTCCCTGAAAGCAGATTTAAAAAATAGAGAGATGAGAAATGGAAAAGGTAAAAACTATTAAAGGGTTAACCTGAGAGGCCCAACATTGGAACAATAGGTGGTCCAGAAAGAAAGGTGAACGACTATAAGAAAAATTGAGACACTTCCCAGGAGAGCCAGCACAAGGTCCAGCACCAAGGGTACCACACCACGGGACAGCTCAGGACACTAACAATGAAGGGATCTTGAATGTTTCCTGGGAGGGATGCCCAAGCCACACCTAAAGGCTCGGGGATCAGAATGGCATCGGAAATCTCAGCAACCACGCTGGTGGGTAAAGAGGGGGCATTAGTTTCTACCTGCAGTTCTATACCCAGCCACACTTGGGTAAGGGCAGAATGAAAACATTTTAAGTTATGCAAAAATCTCAAAATATTTACGATAGTTACTTCCCACGTTCCTTTTCTTGAGAAGTTACTAAAGAATGTGCCACACCAAAAAAAAAAAAAAAAAAAATCAAATCAAGGAGAGAAATGTTGACAAGAATCTGTAAGCACTGTACACTACTTGGTTCAGGAGTAAAAACAGTCCTTATATAGCCACACTATATAACAGAGATACACCAAACAATATAATCGAACTATACTGGCCAAACAAAGCAGGGGATGGGTAAGAGTGAGAGCCTCATCTGCCATAAGGGCAAGTCAGTGGATGCTTCTAAATTAATTTAAAAATATATATAAATAGAAGCATGTTATGTAGAAAAACAAAGATAAATATTAGAAAGAATCGAAAGTGTTACTTCTGGGGAGCAAGACTCAGGGGGCTACTAGTTTTCATTAAAAGCCTTACAGCATTTGTTTCTTTTTAAACTATGAACATGTATTGCTTGGATAAGAGTCTAAAAGAAATTCTTTTTTTAAAAATTGAAATCCATGGGGTAGTTTGTCCTGCAGGCTTCTCTATCCACCTTTTATATCCAGCTTCTTCCATATGACCCTCTGCTCAAATAAGACTTTTTTTTCCTTTCAAAAAAAACCAAAAAACTCGGTTTGCTGCCAACCTGAACCAAATGACTTTTAGGCATCTTGCCAGTGGATGGTTTTAAACAATATTACAAGTTGTAACGGGTGAGAGGAGCAGCCTGCAGAGATTTTTCTCAACAAAGTCTAGACCGTAAATGAAATGATTTAACGTTTGGGTCAGCTCTTCCCTGGGTCTTCGAGCATCTAATTTAGGTGAGCACGGCATCGTGTTCAGGGTTATAAAATATCACGTGCATAATCTTTATTATCTGTGCCTTTGAGCTTTCAGTGATGCCAGGGTGCTCGTTAATTAGTTCATTTTCCATGGGACACTTGGCCTTCAAGATGGAATCACTCCAAGCTCCCAACAGCGTTGAGCTGAGAAGGCTCAGATCCATGGAGAGAGGGCAGGCTCTGATCAGAGCGGGTTAGACGCCAGACTTCGGCTGTCGGCTTAAATGTGCTATGTAAATTCTTTTGGCCGTGCTGGAATTCTGTAAACTTGAACCTCACTGCTTGAAATAAACGAGTTTTTGGCTTGCTAAGAGAGAAACGTGCTTCCTAGAGGGAAAGCAAGGCTGGTATGTCAGTGGACAAGCTGTTAGAGCTGTCAAGGGTCCCCAGAAAGAATAGGGGTTGAACCTGAAAGGGAATACAGCTTCCTCATGGGAAAAATCCAAGAACAAACAAAGGTTGAAAGTTGGTCTAAAAATTCTGGTTTTGTTTAAATGGGGTCATTTTTATCTAATCATTTACCTTCCCCGTCCCCCCTCTGGGGCATTCATGGGCACAATGGGTGTTCCCTAAAAGGCTGGGCCAATGGGGTGGCTGGGTGTGCTTGAAAGTCTGCTCCTGGTGGGGTGGGTGACCTTGGACAAGCCACTCTGCCTCTCTGGGTTCAGCTGACAAGATGCTGTCCCAGGTCCCTCCTGACCTAAGAGTTTGTGATTTTGCAAGTGTCACTTAATTCACGCTCTCCGGGGGAGGACAATGGGAAGCGGAAGCCCTACAGTCACGGAGACCTGAACCTCCGTAGGAAACAGGGTGCACAGGGAGCCTGGGTTGGGAGATGGAGGGGCAGATGGGTGCCTCTGCCCTCTGCCAAACCGTTTGCCCGTCCTGATCTGCTTCTCGGGGTGCTTTCTAGAAAGGCTTTTCAGGAAAGCCACTGTGCAGGACCAGGAAGGATGCCGGGGCAGAGACTGCGCTCCCGGGCAGGTGCGCACAGGCTCTCTCGGGCAGGACCCTGCTGGGCCACGTCCAGCCCTAACAGCGGAGCTTGCTCTTAGCCCGGCCTCCTCTGTACTCCTCCTCGGGCTTTTCCCAGGGCTTCTGCAGGGCCCGGGGGCGCCTTGGGGATTAGCACAGGTACCTCAGGAGCCATCGATGGAAGTCAGGGGGCTGCCGAGGCAAAGTGGGAGGGATCCGGACTGCCCTGTGCCAGCCAGAACTCTGCTTTTATCTATGTACAGACTGCCCACGCCCTGCCCCAAGAATTCATTTGAAAGGAGGATTCCATTGGTGGAAAGGATTTGAAAATCCAGCTTTACCTCAATTCAAACAAAGCAAAAGTGAATTTAAAACGCATCCCACCTTTCCCACTCAAAAACAAAAACCTAGGGTGAAAAAGAGCGCCCTGCAGCTCACAACACAGCCTTCGTTCGCTCTCCTGCTTGGATCTGCCATTCCCAGATGCCTTCTTGGAGTTGGCAGCTATATGTCACCCAGATGTCCCCCCAACCCATCACCAGCCCCCGCAAGTGCAGGGACACCAGGCACCTTCCCTCAAACGCCCCCTCCTGGAGAAAACCGTGGCAGTTCTCTCCCCAGTGGAGGCTCTGCCTGGGGCAGCCCCCCTCTTTCTCATCAGGAGAACTCTCCTCGGAGAGGTAAGTAACTGAGTCCACCCAGGACCTTAAGAACCTGCCCGGGACGGGCTACGACCGGGCTACGGTAGATACTAGTGACCGACAAAGCGCGGCGCGCAGGACAGAGCCGCCCAAGGATCCGGCACACCGAGTGCTGAGCGCGCAGCAGAGAGGAAGCATGCTTAGGACACACGGGAGGAAAGGAAACATGAAAAACCCCAAAGCGAGGAGTCTTCGTCTCCTGGCGGATCCTCAGCTGCCTGCAGGGGTGCCCGGCCCAGAGCCCGAAATACAGTGGAGCAGGAGGAAGTGCCACGGCCGGGTCCCGCGGCGCCGCCTCAGAGCCTGGTGACGTCCAGCTGGGGGAAGAGCAGCAGGCAATACACCAGGAGCCAGAGCAGGAGGATGAAGTACATCATGTCGGGCTGCTGGACGAGCTGGGTCAGGGAGTCGCTCTGCGGGCTCCGGCTCTCCCACTGCGTGGCTTCTCCGGAGTGGCTGGCCTTCCTGCAGGAGGGAGGAAGGCACAGGCAAAGCTGTTACAAGGGGGACCCCAGGCGAGCGGTCCCCACTGGCTCCCCCTGCTCCAACCCCACTGCCCATCTGGAGACTGAGAGCAGCCCAGGGAGGCATCCAAGGGCCCCTACATTGCGTGTATGGGCCCAAGGCAGGGGCTGGGGGCCAGGCGTCCCGGTGAGCGTTCATAACGCTCAGTTCCTCTCCACAGCACAAAGAAGGAGGAGCTGTTAGCCCATTCCACAGATGGGCAGACTGAGGCTCACAGGGTAGGGTGCCTTGCCCCAGGCCATACAATGACTGTGACAGAGCCAGGCCCTGGCTGGGGTCTAACTCTCAGTCTAGGACACCTTCCTTTCCACTACTGTGCCCTTAGCCCAGTTAGATACTGACAACTCTGTTATTAATGACAGAGGAGACTTCATGAGTCATCTAAAGGAACAGAGAGCTCCCCAATTACAGATCATTTGAGAACAGCCATCAGAAACAAAAAACAAGCAAAGACAAAAACCACCACCAAGTTTGGTTTTTGGTTTTTAAAATAATTACTAGGTTTGGTTTTGGTCAGATTGGTCTTTTTCTTTCACAGAGGGCAGCGTTAAAGTGATATTTAGCTTTTTGCCTGGTGGATAAAGCCCAGAGGGTACTGAGTGGCGGTGACCAACTGCAGTTCCAAATTTCCACCAAGGACACAATCTGATCGGAAGGGGCATCGGGAGCCTCTGCTTGAAGCTGCATTTCCAGAAGCTGAGAGTGTAAGCTCTTTGGGGTCATCTGGGGCTTGTGACGGAGATTCTGAGAGGCGAGCATCGCTTCATCCCCATACTGTGTCCTGATACAGTGACTGGCCAGGCCAGGAGGGGACCAAACATCTGCCTTGGTCTAGACACTGAGTGATTCACGTGCAGATAACAGACAACGGACAGAATTGCTTTCTCTCTCTCAAAACTGGTTTTAGAGAAAATTTAAACTATATTTTTTATTGCGAAGCTAATAAGAGCTCGAAAGCATGGGAAACACGACTGCACGTCTCAACCTTGCAGGTTCCATTTTCAAAGTTTCTATCTCGTAAAAGCTAACAGTCCTATTTTCCTAGGAGTGTGTGAAGCCTAATGGAAAATGTGAATTCATATTTCCACTTTACGGCAGGGGTGGGAAACAGGTCTGGCCTCTATTTTAGGAGCCGGCAAGGTGGAATTCTAGAGATTACACTCCTGGGTGTTGGGCAACATTCAGGCAGAGGTTTTCCATTCCAGTAACTGAAGTCCTTCCAAGCCCACTAAATCCGTGGCAAATATGAAAAAGATCAATAAAATTAAGCGATTCAATAACTTTAACAGGGGTAAGGAGCACGTCAGACGTGTCATTTTAGAGGTTTCTCTGGTTCCCTGGGTCCTACGTGGGCCGTGTTCCAGCGGCCCAGCAGCCTTAGACTAGGTCGTCTAGTTCTCCCACAGTAACAGATACTTTCATGGACATCCTGGCATGTTTGCACTCCCTCTTCATGTCTGCTCTGATGCCATAAAACTGTAAAATCAGCTCAGTGAGCTTCTGAGTATTGTACCTGCAGTGGCGACACAGAATGAACACGGTTGTCAGGCGTGGGAGCGTTCAGAACTCGGGGTGTCACATCACCTCTCCCGCCTGCGTCT